ATTTTTTTTTTTTTTTTTTCATTTTATGAAGTTTGTAAATGGTATGTATGTCTTTTTAATGATGTAACTTGAGATCAGTTTCCAGTTTGATTGGAACAGTTTTTCTTGCTTCACTTTGTTGATCTTTTGTTCTGTAAGAGTTCCAAGTTTGATCTCTCACTTTGAGGGAAGAACAGTGAGAACATCTGAAATTATATCACAAGAGAATATTTGGACATGAGAGGAAAAAACTGGTAAGGAAGTAGTGAAGACAGCATAAACAGAGGCCTTGAAATAGAAGGGACATATAACAGCACATGTGGAGGAAACAAGAAGAAAACATTTCAGCTGTGACTGTCATATAAAGAGATTCTGTTGATGAAAAGGCAGTGTTTAACCCTCTCTGTAAAATTTTATCAAAGAGGCCTTTGATATATTGGGTTTCTGGACTTTATCCATCGTCCTGGTTTTTAAGATAAATAAAAACTTTTGGAAACTGGATCTGTTTCCATCCTCAGGTGAAGGAAAAGGGAAACACCTATTCTGTTGGGTCCGTTAGAAAGAGCTAGCCTCAATCACTGGACAAACCAATGTCACAAAACATGAAGATTATAACCACCTGAGACCAGGCTAAGTCCACGAGAGCTAATAAGAAAAATATTCATAACAAATTGTTGCAAACACGTACAAGCATGGAACCAGGGTAGATATATCTGTAGAAATTTATGCCACGAAACCAAACTCATAACCAGGTCCATGACCCCACGGCATGGAATAGAAAGAAGAACAAGTAACAAAAAATCTAATAGTGTCTAACTAGCGTCAACAATGGAGTAAATCACGTCTATCTAATTTAGAACTTAATAGAAATGAATAAAAGCATATATCTCGTCATACAGATCTATGTGAATTCACATAGAAGATCTGTATGACGAGATATATGCTTCTGTAACAACAAAGGATTTCTTGATCAGTTGAATATCTTGTCAGTTTTTCTGGGAAGATCCTGTACTATAACATTAGATCCCGCTTATGTGGGTATTTGTTGTTTCTACTCACACAGTTTGTCTGCAGTTCTCGTGTTGTGTGTAACCTGCAAACTAGAGTGCTCTCATATCTCATTCATTGGACACTGGGCATAACATGGTGTAGCACTGCTAATGAACTGCTGTTAATTGTTTGAAACAACAGTTTATGTGCTGGAACTGTGTTGCTTACCTTTTGTACCATGACCTCAGTGTAAATATGCTGTAATACTTTGAAGTCAAATTTGTTTGGATTCATTGATCAATAGTTCACATTGTGATGTAATAGTGAGATATTAAAAAACCCTGTTAATATTTTATTTCAGCATCATATCCTATGTGAACTATTTATAATAGGTTCCATCAACACAATAAATTTATACTTTTTTACTTTACATGTTATGTCCATTTATGGCCATCATCAGGTAAATCATTTTACATTCACTCTACATTTTCCGCTATTTATCCCCCTGCGTTAGCCATTGTTTACCTTTTTAGGGGGAAGGTCATATCTGTTATTTTCAGTGTAAATGCCAGTTATAGTTCATATGCAGACTTAAAATGTATTAAGTTAAAATAAAATTAAGATTGAGGAATTATTATTATTTATTAAGTAAAGTTCCTGTTGTAGTTTTCAAAATATTGGTGTTTTGGTCACATACAAACTATCTGTTTTCGTATCAAGATATACTCATAATTTTGTATGTTGATGTATTTATTTGTTAATAAAATTGTTGGTAGTTACAGATGTTGAATCTCAGTAGAACGAGGTCTTCACTTATGTTATCTTCTTGTGAATGGTATTGTATTGGATGAGTGAGTGTGTGGGACTCTGCTTCCTCATTTCATCAGCCTATGCTGTCTTTCTTTTTTTAAATTATTGCTCCTGTGATTAATAGTATATGTGAAGAAACTATGTAGAGTAGACAGCTGAAAGAAACTGTACGAAAAAACTAAATGTTCTGAAAAGGCTTACAGGAAGTAAATGGGGTTTGAGATCTTTAGTGAATGCTGTGTATAAAGCTTGCATAAACCCTTTCCTACAATATGGCTGTGAAGCATTAATAATTGTAGCACTGGCCTCTTGAAAAATTAGAAGTGATGCAGAATCAGACTCTGAGGTTAGTAACAGGATCAGGAAAATCATCTTTGCTAGCCTCTGTGCAAGAACAACCCTTAAAAACTGAAAGAGAGAAAAATGGCTTTAATTCTGCATGAAAAGTTGACACATTCCTGTTGGTCACAATCTCAAAACTCAGAAAAGCTTCATACAAAAAACAGTGCCATTACTACAAAAATACATTCCTCGGGTAGAACCAGACAAAGTTCTACTATCTCTTTGTCATGTAGACTACATTGGAGTAGATTATAAAACAGGCCTTCTTCAAGAATAGAAAACAATTGGTATAGCTCCATCGGGAATGAAATTAGCAACTTTAGAAACAGTCTATATCTATATATCCTGAATTAGGGTGGTTACATGTTTATACAGATGGTTCACTTACAGACAAGAATGGAAGTGTACAGAACTGTTAGGCTTATTTTGGACTCTGTCCATTGTCTGGTATATAGAAGACAAAAAACCGCAACCTTAAGGAGACTGGATCAGTGGATGGGGCAAAACCTACTCAGTTTGGCCTGGTAGAAAGAACTAGTCTCAATCACTGGACTAATAGTTCTGTACAACATACCCCATTGTCAGAATCCTTTCAAGTATAAGAAAGTAAATTACTACAAATTGTCTGTATGAATGAATGTATGAGGGGTAGGCCTTCTTGGCCCTTGCACTGAGACCTACAGTGGTCAATTGTGCTTTACATTTTTATACTTTATATATCTCTTGTACAACATGGCACTCACTTTGACAATTAGATAGAGGCAATGAATACTGAATATTGGTAGAACTGTGTCCTTTGAAAAGTATTCAGTGATTCAGTTTCAGCAATATTGTCCATAGTAGAATTTGATGCACTTCCAAGTGAAAGGGTAATAGAAATCCATTCATCATTAAGTTGTTCAAAAGCCCTCTAAAGCATTCAGTGAATACCATCCCATTGTGGTGTTGTGGGTAATGAAATAGCAGATTATGTATCAAAGAAGGAACAAAGATTAGTCAAACATTTGCATGTAAATTAACTTTTCACTCTGCCAAATTAAGAATAAAAAGAAGCATTCAGACTGAATTATCAGGATATTTTACCATTCAAAGCCAGCAAAAATCATGAGGCAGAGTAGTGAAAAAGTTCCAGTTTTCCAAGAGGAGATGCTATGGCAACTTTTCATTTAACAGCTCACTTACACAGATGGTCAGTTTACCCATCACCATTTTGTGTTCTATGCCATGAGGAAAACTCAAACAAATAAAGATCATCTTCAAAAAGGCACTGTTTCAAGTGTTAGAATAATAATCATGAAAATATATTTGGATGCTAGAAGGTGAATGGAATTCTTCCTCCAAGTGCCTGAGTAGTGGTAGTGGTAGTAGTAGTAGCAGCGGCAGCGGCGGCGGTGGTAGTGGTGGCGGCTGTGGCGGTGGCGGTAGCAGTAGTAGTAGTAGTAGTAGTATCATCATGTTGGGGTTCATACTACACATGAAATAATGTTAATGTTTATTGGTTACCTGCTGGAAAATATTTCTTACTAATAATTTTTTTAATTATGCTTTCTAGTTCTTATAATTTTCAGTTATATTGTTCATGTTCCAGAATAGCCATTTTCAAGCTTAATGTCTTATTTGTCTGTCACTTTAGTTATTTGTTACTCATTCTGAAATCCTGCTGATCTACTAACTTTTTCTGTGAACTAATCAAAAAGCATAACAAAGTATGAATAATAATATGAACACACTTGTAGATTATGCACTCACTCACACATGTGTGTGCCCGCGCAGTCTTCTACATACAAACATGATATGGTGTATAGTAAGGAATACAGATAATTGAGGTTCTGAATATAGGCCTACTGATTGATTACAAAACAATTTAGTTACAGCAGAGAAATACAGGTACTCCGCATTGTAGTTACTATAGGATTCTGACGATGGTGTATAACACACTGATATATTGGGTTTTTGGACTTTATCCATCATCCTGGTTTTTAAGATAACTAATAAAAACACGACGTTTCGGAAAGTGGATCTGTTTCCGTCCTCAGGTGAAGGAAAACACCTATTCTGTTGGGTCCGTTAGAGAGAGCTAGCCTCAATCACTGGACAATGAGGAATTTCGTAATTTGTACTCTTTGCCAAGTATTAAAATTATCAAGTCAAGGAGGATAAGTTGGGCAGGGCATTTAGCACAAATGGGGAGAAAAGAAACGTATGAAGGATTTCAGTGGTAAAACCAGATGGAAAGAGACCAATAGGAAGACCTAGACTTAGTTGGGAGGAAATTATTAAGATGTATGTTAGAGAGATATGAAAGGGTGGTATGGACTGCATTGAGCTGGCTCAGGATATGGACCGGTTGAGGGCACTTGCAAACAAGTTAATGAACCATCGGTTTCCATAAAATGCTGGGAAGTTCTTAAAGTAGCGGCTTCTCAAGAAGGACTCAGCTTCAGTGTGTTAGTTTATGTCTAACTTAAGGACAAAACAGATCACGGTTTTCTGCAAAATTAATGCAAACCGCAAATCAAAAGCAATCAAAGCATTAAGAAAATCATTTTAATGGATACGAGCCCATTAAAGCTTGCTCGAACCCCCCCCCCTCCCTCCAGGAATTCCACCCTTCTTAGCGGCAAGAAGAGGTGAACGAGACCTTCATGCTTTAGGCTTTAGGTGGACGGGGTTAACAATTTTCAGACAGCTTCATTGGGCATTTCAGCGCAATAAAGTCGTAATCGGTGTAGTGGCTGTGCCATTAGAAGGGGAGGGGGGAGACGTAGCATCCCTTGGATGGCAACGACCTTTCATCAGTTCCGTGGTGGTGGAAAGAAGTTGTAGGACTCCTTAAAATATTTTTTCTTTCAGAAAATGGTTTCTGCCCAGGGTCCCTAAACCTGAGCGCGCACATGAAATATGCGCCTATGACTGAGGTATGTTAATTGTGGAGGAAAACAATAAACCATGCCCCTTTCACAATGTGAGCAAGAACACTGGAGCAGTGATGCGACTGACTAAGGACCGGAAAAAAGGAGTTCGATTCAAGGCAGAGCCAGGAATCTTTCCTTTGCCACCGCGTCCAGGCCTGCTGCGAATATTTCTTTGTCTTTTTGGGGGGTGGGGATGAGAATGAGTCCACTTGCTATGCCGGCCTCTGGTGGACTTATTTTACCAGCCCCTGATGATAGATGAGTATGGAGTCTTCGGTGGAATGAGAATTGGTAAGGGAAACCGTAATACTTGGGGAGAAGCTTCCCTAGTGTCACTTTGCCCATCACAATCCCACAAGACATGAACTGAGATCGAACCCGGGGCCGTCGCCAAGGGAATCCTTTTTTTTATTGCTAATGGGGTGGGACTAAGTCCCTTGCACTGCGGCCATTTCTGCCCTATTGTACCAGCCCCAGATGATAGGTGAGGGTGATGGTGGAGCAATTGGTGGAATGAAGATTGGCAGGGGAAACCGAAGTACTCTGAAGAAACCTGCCCCAGCGCCACTTTGTCCACCAGAAATTCCACTTGACCAGACCCGGGATTAAACCTGGGCCGTCGCGGTGGGAAGCCAGCGACTAACCGCTTGAGCTATGGCTCGGCCTTTTAATCCGGGGGTTACTGTCTGATCTTTAGCCCGACCGGTTCTGAAACGTGGCAACCCTTCCGGAAGGGTTATAGGATAAATTGGCCTGATGGCCAAGCTGGCCGCTAACATCCATGCAGTTTTGACATAAACATGTGTATAATTATAGAGCTAATCCCTTTATATACATGCGTACCGTAGCGCTTAGACATTGTGAAAGCAATATTAGTTTTTGAATATATTTACAAAGAATATGATCTGCGTTCATGTGTTCAATTTTTTACGTTTTTGGATACCATACCTGAAGACAAACAGTTCTGGACTGAATGGTAGCAAGCATTCCCCGAAACTGAATGTCCATTTAATTTCCTTCTTAATCAAATTTTGGTACATGATATGTATGTATTGACCGTCTTCTAGTGCACACAGTCTCACATGTCACTTCACTACATGTTTCGACATCGCTGCGCCATCCTCAGGTGTGTTATTTACATTAAACTATTGCACTGCTCGCCATCGTGTGTCATTTATAAAATGATTTAAAAATGTATATTCTTCATGTACTATAATAAAATTTATATGTATTAAAATTTGTTAAGATTTATCATCTTATACTTCTTATTTCAAACTCACGTATTATATCATTCTTCCACTATGGGAGTTGTTCTTCCTATATTTTGTGTATACTGTGTCTTGTGATGTGTCCTTCTTTTTTTGGCTGCATGCATGCAGATTTAGTCCATAGTACCGCCTTTTTCAAATTCATAGTAATGTAACTGATCACGGCCGTCTTGCCAAAAAATACTTGATTTCATTGATGGAATCTATACCTAGTCATTTTTGGCTAACAAAAATCCATGGAATGTACCATATGAATATATGTGAAACAGCGATGAAGAACAGAACAAGTGATAACCCATTAATGCAGAAGATTTTATGAGCGATTGTTTATATCAAAGTCCACTGGAATATAACCTAACCAAATCAAGAGCTTTCCATATATATATGCATGTGTTGTGGACTCTGCAATTGTAAATTAAACACAGTTTTCGATTTCAGGTCTGTACAATGGTGACTGTAAACGGTAGTGTCCTGTAGGTTGTAGACAGCCCAACGTTTTGGAAGAGCATATCCTTTACTACACAGTCTTACAATCCAGAAGACCCTGCTTTTCCTGGTCACCACTATGAGAGCTTCAACTCCAAAATCTAGCATAATGTCTTCATATATTATGGCCAGTCACTTTGCCTCTATGGTGGGATCAGTGAGGATGTCCAATATTTTGGCTGTACACCCTCTTGGAAGTAGGGGCAACATTAACATCAAAGGCCCTTGGTGATGTTCCTTAAGTCTGAATTCTGTGGTTCTCGTATTGCTTTATTTGTGAGTAGACTGACGCTTGTCATCATTCCATTGCATAGTGCTTACTATAGTACTGTCAATGACAGCTGCATTCTTGCATGTTTTCATTTAGGTTTGAGCTAAGTATTAAAAGCTGTTTACAATGGATACAGCCACTGTTTGGAAATGGGGAATGGCTCTTGAGTGGACTGGTCATGTGACTGTACTGGAGGGAGCAACTAGTGTAACAAAACCTCTTGAAGAACTTTCACAAGGGTAAGATGGCTGGATCTTAGGGAAATGGATGGAACTGGTTCAGGGCCATGTGCAATGAAGGGCTTGGGTAGAATGTCAGTACATCATATGCGTTGATAGTATGTATGTATAATTTGTACTCGTATGTCTCATCTAATTTTAACATTAAACAGAGCAAATGGTTCTTAATTGGAAATAAATTTTTAAAAATAATTTTTATTTGTCGTGGTTGGATTGTAGCCTTTTCTGAAGTTCCAAGTGCTAAAAAGAGTACATTTAATAAATTTGAAATGATTGGTTTTCTCCCCCCTTCCTAAACAGACAGCTGTAATTTCAGACTACAAGTTTGGGTGGAAATTGGACTGGGAGGTGGAGGAAGGCAGGTATGGAGAGTAAGATATGATCCACATAGATATGAAGTTGACCACAGCAGAGTTGAACTCATGTTGAAGTGCCCCAACTTACTGGAATCCTTTCAAGGACCCCATTCTGATGGAGCGAGTTGCTTGTTTTGTACTGCATGCCACCTTTGATGCTGTGAAAGTGTGCCCAACTGGCGTGAACGTGAGTACACTGCTTGAAATTTTGCACACCTTATTGACTTTATCGTGTTCATTTATTGTTGCAGAGCTAATATGACACAGAACAGTCAGATATATATTTTCATGTTTTATTCTATTACATTTTGATCATGTCAGGAATTGTTTGCAGTTAAACTGTGATTAATGTAATCTGCAGTTTCCATGTACCAACCTTTACATAAAATGAACTACTTTTTAGGAAATTGATACTGAGCTTCATGTAAAGGGGATATACTGGACTTATATCACACATATTAATTTTCTTGCAGAAATTACATTCATATGGTTGAGAGATCACTTATTTGTGTGGAAACAGAAAAGAAGTAAAAAACTTGTCTTATTTGGGAGAGAGAGAGAAGGAAGCATGGAACAGCATGACATAAATTACTGCCAGTGTAATTTAATTGATTAATTGGCAAAGGGAACATGTCTATGTTTCAGCTTTTGCACTTTCCCTTTTTTGAGTATGTGATTTGAGTTGTTCCCTGTAGATGCTGTGATGTATGGTAATGGGAAGAGTTTTAATTCTTAAATAGCTTAGTCACTGTTGTAACTAGGTTGACTGTTGGGTTCCATGTGGGAAAAAGGAATTTTCTCTCTCTGCCACATCCAGACCTGGTCTGGGACCCACCCAGCCTTCTATTCAGACTAACTATACTCAAGGCGAAAGTGGAAAGAGTTTGAAACTGACCATTCACCATCATCTAGTTCCAGTGTTGAGAATGAATGGAGCTGTGCCTCCAGTCTCCTATATATATTCATGATTATATGCTTAATGAAGCATATGAACAACTTCACCTTTATCTTAATGATTTTATTTAGAACAATGAGTCAATTTTATGTGTCTATTACATAGCATCAGAGGTTATATTTATGTGTCTCAGATACAAGATTATAATTCCTGTTATCATCAACTGAACTGTGTGTTGTGCAGACTGCAAAAATAGAAGCTTATTTGAGAACTGTATCTGTGTGCATGTTCCAGCTACCAATTACACATTAGATTTTGCTGAAACTGGTGTCTGCACTGAAAGTTGTTGGACATATAATTTTGGTAGGTCTGTGTACTGGTCAGTTATTGGGTTTCTCACAGTGATGGGTTGTCTTTCAGTGGACCTACAAGTTGTTAATCTCAGAGGATGGAACTCTTCAATTAGGATGTAATTTTACATAAAGCTGAGGCCATTCTCCGTTGTTTTCTCTAGGATGGCCTGTCATATATCAGAACAATGATGCATGAGATATGATGTATATATCTTGAAGATATGTGAAAGAATTTCTGATAAGGTGAAGAGAACAGTATGGAAAATATATTTCTGCTCTGTGCAGTTTAATACCTATACTGCAATTAGTTCTGCAACAGTAGATTTGTATTTGTATTGAGGTATGCAAAATTGCAAAGGAGCAGCATCTGCTGAATATTTGCAATGGTCTTGAAAATGTAAACTTGGTTTGGCACTGCAGTGACAGAATTATAACTGTGATGTGACGTGTTACAGTTTCTGCGAGAAATGAGCATTGCCACTTCACAGGAAGGTGGTATCCTGGTGGTGTATATATGTAATAAACACACTCTTGGGCTGTTCATTCACCAGATAATCCAGCAAAGAAGAGAACAGTAAGTGACATGAATATATGAGAGAATTATTAGCCATGTTCAACAAGGATGTTCAGTAGAGAAACAGTTCCGATTATCACAATTTCTGAAATGCCTGACAGCAGGAATTATCTGCCAGTGAGTACCAGAACTACAAGTACACATATAGGGAGTAGTGCAAGTATGAGAGTGAGCACTCACGGGTCGAGAAGCAAGCCCTGCAATCACACCAACACCAGCAACATAAGAGGAAATCTCAGCAGTACCTCAGATTTAAAGTAGCACTTTATACCAGGTAGTCCAAGTATGGACCAGTTGTGAGAGTGTCGTCCAGAGTAGACAAAAAGGGCCAGAAGGTCTCAAAAAAGAGCAACTGCAAAAGAGGTGTGTCATTGACAGTTGGCAGCAACAGTTGTGATGGAGGTTTTTGTTGCTGGGAAAAATGAGAGCGGATACTGCAGAAAGTGCAGAGGTTACTATTATGACACAAATCATAAATATTTTTTGAATGGCTGGTTGAGATGTCACATGTAACATGCTTGGTATCACGAATGCCGCTGAAATGGAAAGACAAATAACAGGCTTATGTGTAAATTATGCTTGACAAAATGACTGTGTGTCGACAAATATTACAACAGTGTAACTGGAATATAATGCAGCTATGTTTATGATGAAACTGGCTTCATGTTTATTCCATTTTCTGTAAAAAGTTTCATTGTGTACAACAAATTACTAATGTGATAAATTGAAATATGAAAATAAATTTTTGTGGTTCTTTGGATGTGTATTACTTCAAAAAGGTGTATTGGACATTACTAAATTATAAACAAAGTTTAATCTGCTCTTGTTCATTATCAAAGCTGAGTCAAATTTGAAAGTGTCCAGCAGACCCTGACTAGTATAGAGACAGGTGACTTCACGCAGCATGGCAATCTTATAAACTTACTTTCTTTTTCACGGTTGGGAAGATGGCTGAAATATGAGAAACTTTTCTAAAGAAATATTTTCACGAGAATGGCATCAGAGGTATTATTGTTGATAGTGATGTGCTCAGTATTGCTTGCAACAAGAGCATGCTCACTAGTAATATATATAAAAATTATTTTGTATCTGAAATAGGAATCACTTCCCTTTTTCCCATTAGCCACGTTTTGTTTTCTTAGAAGTAGGTTGAGGATCATGAATTATAGGATTAATTTGTAGTTCTTGCTGCTGAATGCAGTTTCGCAGATTCTGTATGGGCCTTCTGCCTGTTATTTGAATCAAAGGAGAATACTTTCAAGGCTGTCAGTTAAGGTAAAAATGGTAAAGTCCTGTGCTTATTTAAGCACCACGCCATGAAGATATGTATTTTATGGGTGAGTGGAGGTGTAGTGTCAAGGACTTCTGACTTTGCCACTAAATGGAGGTGAATGGTCAGGATCACACCCCAGCTGCTGGATAGGACCCACAGCCAGTCTGGATGCTGTGGAGTAGAGTAAAATGTCTTTCCCCTCCCAGGAATCGGACTGCAGTTGTCCAACACATAGCCTGTCATTACACTGACTGGACTATCCCAGTTCTACAAAAAGTAACCCTATCATATGTTACACATTCTTACAAAATCTACTACCTTGCACCTACATAATTTCATTGTCATATGTAAATTGGTGCTGATGTTACTCCCACACCATTTTGTTAATAACTGATTAGAGGAAACTATATAGTCTGGCATTGGGTGGCCTCCAATGGCATAACCCATATACCAAGTGTCTTGAACATCATTTAACAGGTTCAGCATTCACAACTAAAAACAACCACCAAATTGATCTGGACATCAGTTATGCCAACAAATTAATCTGTAAAGTACTTGATACAAAATTCCTTGGAATACATGTAGACAGTACACTGTCTTGGAAAATACATATTGAACAAATTATACCTAAATTAAATGCAGCTTGCTATGCGATGAGATCAATTAAGCCCTTTATGTCACAGGAAACATTGAAGATGGTTTACCATGCCTACTTTCATTCTATTATGAACTATGGATTAATATTTTGGGGGAACTCTTCACATAGTGTAATAATTTTTAAAATACAAAAGAATATAATTAGAATCATTACAGGATGTAGAAGTAGAGATTCATGTAGAGAATTATTTAAGAAATTAAAAATTCTACCTCTTCAATCGCAATACATATTATCGCTTCTCTTATTTGTTGTTTACAACAAAGATAAATTCAAATTAAATTCTGATGTCTATAACATGAATACTAGACAAAAATATAACTTCCACCTACCCTCATCAACTTTATCAGTATATCAAAAAGGAGTCTACTTTACTGGCATAAAAGTGTTCAACAATCTGCCACAAAGTATTAAAAACTTGGGCAATGATACTAAAAAGTTTAAATCAGAGTTAAAGAATTATCTACATGCTCATTCCTTCTACTCTTTAGATGAATACTTCAATGTAAATAGAGAATGATGTAAAATTAAGTTATATTAATTTTTAAGCTAAAATTGCCTGTACTTATGTATGTAACCTTTTGACTTGTTCTGTATCCAAAGGTACTAACCTGCTTAGGATTTATAGAATGTAAATAAATTCAATTCAAAATGCAGGCGCACACCTACAGCAAGGTGATCCCATAATGCTACCTTACTTTTCCTTAGGGAAGGAAGGAAAATAGTTTGTTTATTTTAGTAAGAAGAATATGTAGACCTAATTAGCTAGGAATACAAGAATTTTGAAGGGGAAGGCAGACAGAGCTACATTTTGTGACGTTTGGACCTAAGAATGAGGAAGTGTTAGTAGGATACAGTTACGGACTGAAAACCCTTAAGTCAAACTTTTAAGCCTATAGTTGGAGTAATATAGGCTAGAAGAATTAGGATCGGAAACATCCAAAATTTTAGTTTTTCTTTGATTCCCGGCATGACAAGATTTTTCTCTTCTCTGCAGTGTCCAGACTGGCTTGGGCCCAGCCTTCCTCCTATCCAATGGAGACCGGGGGTAAAATTGCCTACCTACCTTTATGTAGTGCTGAGGTCAAGAATGATGGAACTATTCCTCCACTCCCCCATGTATCCTTATGACCTAGTGCTTACTTAATCACAGGGACAACTTTACCTTTTACCTAAAGGAAAAAGTCTACTTGGGAGACTTTGCTCTAGTTTCAGAGGATTATATTGGAATACAAGTATATCTTAGAGAATAGGGTGTTAGGGGTAGACTGGATTCAGTTTGCTCGGGATAGGGTTAATTGGAACTATTTCTTGGTGATGGTAACAAACATACCGTTGTTATGACATTTTCCTGAGCCAGGTGCAGCCTACACGGGTCAGTGCAGTGTGTGGCCACCACAACTCTCCCTGTGGGTTTTCTAGGAATAAAATTTTTTAACCACTGCATGGAGGTTTAAACCAGTCTTACCCCAAAGTAAAAACTGTATCTCTTCAGAAGATCGAGATATGATGCCACTAGGGTCACGTGACAATATGGCGTTACTAGAGCTGGGATCGCTGAGAGTGCTTTTGTTGAAACATGCGTTACTTCTTAGACATACGAGTTTTCTCGATTCTTTTTGCATTACAGTCAACGTCTGCAACAATTCTAGAGTGATTCTTTTAATATTTACTTTGATTTTTTGCCGTTAAACTTGAGAACCCGGTGGCATAGTTTTACCACTTCGAACTGATACCAGGGACCAGTAAACTGCCTCTTGTCGCCATTTCTTACCATTCTGTCGAATTAGAGAAAAATAGGCATCTACCGGCTTACCCCGATCCACCCTAACAATCCAAACTCTCATGTCTGGTCACTATCATCATAATCATTAGAAAACAGCCCGTTTTGAGTCATAGCCATCCTTACAAGGTTCTGCCAATTTTTTTTTAACAAAGCATGGTCATCAGCCTTGCTCCCAACCCGCAGCCTAGAGGACCAGGTCTCTGTATTTTTGTGCTCCCCAGCGACAGGGTGGCACAGTTATACCTCCAGGCACTGAGTTCTCTTTTCGTCGCAAAGCTACGGTGGAAGCGTTCTAACCCGCCTTCACACATATGACAGTACAGCCTTTTCTATGCAGTAGGCGTATAAACACCCGCTTCTCTGTAACAGTCGAGGTATTGTTGGACTCTAAGAATGGAAACTATGTTTTCCATATGGTCCGTGCAGAGATGTTATAAGCAGCACAGTTTGGCAGACAGTCCGTATGAAGGCTCGATCGAATACCTCCACCGTGACCCTGCGAATGGTAGGAGGCGACTGAAATGGAAGTCTCAAATCTGAGACAGTAAAATATGGTCGCGAGTCCCAAGGGACTCGGACCCAAGAAAACTGCGCTGGCAAGGGCCAGCAGCGTATACAGAGACCGTAACAGTCAAACAGTAATAAATATTTGGTCATGAGCCCCAGATGGGGATAGACACCAAGACTTACTGACTGACTGACCATCAATCGCGATGTGACTTAGACTTTGCAACGAGCAGTTGTTGGTTGGAGTTGTCAGCAGTTCAGTTGACAGAAGTGACGTGAAGTATCTGGTTGGTGGGTGAGAGAGTTCAATTGGCGAGAAGACTAGGAGGTTCGTGTGAAATGGCCCCCAGACAGGACCCAGTTAGTTGAGTTCTCAGTTGACAAGAGTTCTGCATGGGCAGTGCGGAAAGCTGAACAGTCTCCCGCATTAGAAACCGTTGCCGGAAAACGGCTAGTGGAGACTGTAATAGCATTAGAGTTTTTGTGTCAGTGAAATCTAAGGTGTAGTTCCGATTGGTGTATGCGAGTGGTCAGTAAATCCAATATCCTACCCATACCCCTTTGTAGTCACTCTAAATCGTAAATCCCCACGGCCGTTAATTTCGATTTTCTAAACGGGAGCCGCTGTTTCCTTGAAATAGCTCATAAATTATCCTCACGAAGCAGAGTGGCCCCCGTTGCACACCCACTACTTCTAAGAGAATCTGGTAGCCCCGGGAATCGAACCCGGAACCTGAGGAACTCTGACCACTAGACCACAGAGGCGGTCAAAACTGAACCATGCGTTAATAATTACAGACCAGAATGTCAAAGAAATATTCCACGATGGAAGGATAGTCTTTGAGACGGAACGAGCTAATAAAATTTACCCTGAAGCAGACTGTGATGATAGTGACCTAGATTTGGCAACCTTCGTGCGTTGCCTGGTTTCCGCGTCTCCAATTTTGAATGAAGTCCAGGTGGACCCTACATATGTGGCTGCGCTTAACTTTAATCAGAGAACGCCATTTGGAAACTTAGGGCCTCGTAGTGTGTCTTCATTGCCTGATTTGTCTCTAGATTTGATTTTAAATTTATGACTGTCGAGTTCTGCTCCGGTTTCCTGAAAGAGAAACCTCAAGGGAAATTCCCCAGGTTTTCTAGCTTATTCAAAGTCATGTGACAGTCACTGCAATTGATTGTGTTAGTTTGCACAAGTTGGGATTGGGGATTGAATATATATAAAAATCGAATTTAAAATTTTAATCTGTTTATTATTGCATGAAACAAAAGGGTTGTTCCCTTAGGACACTTCATTTGTTTCTGAAAGAGTCGATGTCCGTTAATTATTCATCCTAGGCCTCTGTGGAACGTACTGCCAACTGTTCAACTGTTGCTAACAGATGGCAGAACGAGGCTAAAGTTCTGCCCACATTTTTGCGTAAATTAAGGCAATAATGGGAACTAGCTGTTAATGAATTTTTCCTGTTATATGGCCTAATTAAAATTCTTGAACCTCAGTGATCAACAAACAAAAATCAACTCCGTGGCCTGTA